TTTCTGACATTGAACTTATGAGACCGATTCATAATTCTTTGAATTTTGAATTCGGACATGATTTTTGGCATCTGAACCTTTTATTTGGTATTGAATTCAGTAAAACCAACCAGAAATGCTAAGTGCCTACATGTAGAATTGGACAAGTGCCATAGTAAATATTTATTAAAGGACATTTTGTTTGCATTGGAAACCAGTTATGTCTCCTTGTCACCCTCCTGTAAATGATTCATTATTTTCTTTCTTTGTGATTCTGAGTTGAAGTATTTTCATGATTACTTTTCTTCATTATTTTACATCTAAACACTGAAAAAAAACCCGCAAAAAACCCCCCAAAAATACAACAAAAAAAGAACAATAATCAAGACTAATAATAAAAAAAGGAAAATGTTTCTAAAATCCTGAGTATTCTTTTCTGCTTACTAATCTGAATAGTACATATCCATAGTAAAAAAATGTTACGTAAAATCAATACATTTTCATATTGAATTGAAAAAAGCCAAAGTTCTACAAGTGTTGGTGTGTGCATATGACTAGTGTGCAAAGCCAATGCAGACTTGCTCAGAACAACACCCCCACCCTGAGGGAGCCTGATTGGGGACCCCAGTCAGTGCTATGTGACCCTCACTTCTTATCAACATTTGCTTTTTTTCTACCAATATTTATATACATTACAGATTAAACTAAGCACAACTGACTATTAAAGTATGAAAAATTTTTGCAGGCTTTGACGTCATTCTGGGGTCATTTTTAGTCTAAATCTGTAAATTTGTTTTGCTCATGCTAAGTCTCAAAAAACACTACATAAAAAAAAAAACAAAAAAAAAACACTATTTTTTATTCATGATGTTTAAAGTTAAAATTATCCAACTTTTTAACAGGAAACATCTCTAGCTGATGTTAAAAATTGCTGCAAAACATTATTGATTTACATAAGATGGAATGATCTGTTATGACATTTATTTAAGATGGAATGATCTATTATGTCTCTAATTTGTATTTAAATACATTGTATTTATTTTCAATTTTTCTAGTTGAAAGCTGGATCAATGGATCCTATACAATATAGGTGATCAACACCTATATTGCATAGGATCCATTGTTCTACATAAGTAATGTCACAATAAAATTTGTCTTTTATCCTTATGACAACTGAGATGTAGTAGAGTGTGTATGTGCATAAGGGGGGAGGGTATAATAGAATTGGGATGGGGCACAAGACCCTTGCACTGGTCCTGGTGGTGTGTATATGTTTGATATTATGTCAGTTTATCTTTGTATCTAAAAAGAGGTCTTTCTATGTTGCACATCCCTTCTTGAAGTTGGCCATAAGTAAAAATTTTCAGCATTTTTTCATCATTCCTAACAACAGCATGACTAGCCCATCTTAACTGTGACTCCATCAAGAAGGCCTCTATGCTTTGTATATCACTTTTCCGAAACAACTAATTCAAGATTTTTGTTTTTCTATTTGAAACTACAGATATGTTGAAGACATCTCTTAGGGAAAATAACTGGTTGTATGAAATGCTTTCTATATTGTATCCATAATTCAGACCCATACAGCAATCTTGGAATGACAAATGCACAATAAACTGAAATACTGGTTTTTCAATTCAGTCCTCTTTTGTTCCAAGTCTGTTCTTGCAGCTTTTCAAGGGCATCACTTGCCTTGGCAAATTGATTTACGATTTCATCATAAAAGAAAAAAAAAAAACAACACACTAGAGTTGATTTTGTTCCCTAAGCACAGGAAAGATATTGCATACTTTAAAGGCTTGTTGTGATGATAGACTGTGTATGGGGCATAGCTAGTTTTATATCACTCCTTTCGATAGGTGCAGGTTTATCTAACTTATTGTTAGACTAAATGCTTTTGCTGCTGAGGAAAACCTGTTTACAACTTCTTGTGCTCCTTGGAAAGAGCCAAGCCATCCATCAGAGCTGGATCATCAGCAAACAAGAACAGTCTAAAAGTATTATTGCCCTGGTTTTATATATATATATATATATATATATATATATATATATATATATATATATGTGTGTGTCTGTTTAAAATTTGCTATATTTATACGAGAAAAGTGCTTTGTATCAGAGATGGAGCAACTGAAGATACAGAGATTATAGGTACAAAAATCAACACAGCATATGATGATTACCATTTTTACAAAAGCGATCATCAGAACAGATGGTCTGAGGGTCACTTGAGTCTTAAAATTGACAGTTACCATGTAGTGTTTATTTCCATCTCTCTCTCTCTCTCTAAATTTTGTATATGCAGTACTTAGTGGAAAGTGCACAATATCAGTAATAGAGTTAAGATATTCAGTTGTATGGATATGAGGTTGTGACCCTGGGTTTCACTCTTTTGCGATCATCAGACAAACTCTGATGAATCCAAAAGTGTCAAACCTAGGGTCACAAATTTATATCCATACAACTGAATATATATATAAATATATATATGTATATGTATGCATGTGTGTGTGTGTGTGTGTGTGTGTGTAGAGAGAGAGAGAGAGAGAGGAGGCCAATTATGTTGATTACTTGAGGACAGAATTTTTAAAATAAGAATGGTTGATAAGACTAAGCAGATTAATTAAAAATTGGAACACTTTAAATTCATGCTCATAAACAATTTTATATTGTGAAAGAAATAATATAAAATTAACTTGGAATTTTTAATATTTAATTCATGTTTTAGTTTAACTAAATTTGATAACATTGCCCATGATTTTTTTTTGTGTGTTTGTATATATCAAAAAGTTGAGATCCTGCAACAAGCAGAGGCAAGATAGCTGGCAACAGATCAAACAGTATACGGGAAATGGGTTTTGTTGACCTAACTAAAGTGAATCATGAGGCTTTCTGGAAGGTGATCAGAAAATTTGGCTGTACACCTGCTTTTATTGAAAAGTTCAAGCAACTACATTTATGTATGAAAGGTCGTGTCAATTTCAAGGGTCAGCTCTCAGAGGAATTTCCCAAATGGAGTAAAGCTGGTTGATATACCTGCACCAACATTGTTCTCACTTTACCAGACATCTGTACTCTGATATGTTTTTCATGACTGTGATACAAGTGTCTATATCAGATTCCGAAGAACTGGAAAAGTTTTCATATTGAGAAGATTCTAAGCCAGAACCTGTGTTAGTGACGTATTTGTTAGAGAGTTTCTATATGCTGATGATGCCGACTTAGTTGCACACTTTCCAGAAGAAATGCAGTCAGTGATGGAACACTTTACTAATGCTTGTACCTGCTTTGGACTGACATTCAGCATTAAGAAAGCCAAAGTCATGTACACTCCCACTTCTGGCGATCTTTACATGGAACCTAACATCTTTGTCTATGGGAAGCATCTTGAAGTCGTCAAAGAGTTTGTTTACTTTGGTAATACATTATTTAATGATGGCTCCCTTGAAGCAGAAATCAAAACAGAATAAGCAAGGCATCTGGGTCCTTTGGTAAGCTAGAAGATAGAGTCTGGTCAAATGGGGATCTAATTCTGGCAACTAAAGTGTCTGTGTATCAAACGTGTGTTGTCAATCTTACTCTATGCCTCTGAAACCTGGATCTTGTATCAATCTCATATAAAACAGCTTGAAAAATTTCTATCAGCACTGTCTCAGACATATTCTTGGTCTAAAGTGTGACAGTTGTGTTCCAGATACAGGTGTCTTGACCAAAGCCAAAACAGTCAGCATTGTTACAATTGTGTTTAGGAAGCAGATGCATTGGGCTGGTCATCTTGTTCAGCTTGATGACTCCCGACTTCCAAAATGGCTGTTTTATGTTGAGCTTTCTGGCAAGAGACTACAGCACAAGCCAAAAAACAGTTTTGAGGTAGTGTCAAGGAGAGTTTAGAGTATTTTTGTGTTCCTGTTGATGATTGGGAATCCCTAGCATCTGATGGAGGGCAGAGAATTTTTGATGGAGAGTCCCTAGCATCTGATGGAGGGTGCTGAATGTTTTGAAGCAGCCAGAGCACACCAGGTATAGCTCAAGAGTGCATGCAGAAAACGGGAACCTGCTAGCCAATTGTGAAGGTGTTCAGATTTATGAGGAGTAAGACCGGACGCTGCTGTCAAAGATAGGCCTGGTTAATCACATGAAATCACATGAAAGTAATCCAAATACACTTTTTGTCCCTCCCCTGCCGTGCATTAAGTCCCATCATGGAAACTTTTCATGCTCCCACTGCTCTAGAGTTTACTGATCAGCTGGTGGTCTCAAACATCACATGAAAGTTTACAGTGATACCAACATCTTGTGTCTGTCGTCTGAAGCAACGCCAATGATCATGAGTGCTAAATCTGCTCCAAGATGTGCAAGTCACTGGCAGGACTGAAAAGGCATCAAAGGGCTCACGGACGGTCAATCAATCAAGGAGTGGCAATCGTCTGACAAGACGTCACAATCAACATGTATATCATACAAAGGTTCTTTGGCAGATACACTTCTATAACTAAGCCATTATTTCAATTACTACATTAAACTTTATTTTTGAAGAAAACACCCTTTGAATGTTTATATATATATAAGTAGACATTGAGGTCCACACCCTGTGGCAACAATCTGTTTCATACTCAAATCCAATCTTCAAGTCCTGAAGATTGGATTTAAGCATGAAACAGACTGTCACCATTGAATGTTGATCTCAATATCTACTTCTATATTTAGCACTTTACCCATAAATATAGCATACCTTAAAACTATATCATATATATATATATATCTCAAGAGTTCAATGTTGAAAGTGAACCAGATTACAAAATTTTCAAAGTACATAACTGTTTACTGTAAATATTTGTGCTTTTAAATTTTATTTAGTCTCCATTAACATGCACGAAAAAGAGTTTTCATAATAATCTAAAAGTATATATATATATATATATATATATATATATATATATATATATATATATATATATATATATATATATATATATATATATATATATATATTTCCATTTCCATGGCTTATGCCACATTACATTGAAAAACCAGTTTCCATACGATCACTGAAGTTAAGCAATGTTGAGCCTGATCAGTACCTTGGTGGGTGACTATATGGAAATACCATGTGCTGTAAGCTTAAATTTGCAAGTGGTGTAATGAATAATGACTTGGAATTGTTAATCGGAAAGCGGAGTTCCTATTCCAGTAAGGCTCATTATATTCACTTACATGCAAATACCCCTGAGGAAGGTATGAATCCAACTCTCTCCCCCAGCTATTAGTAAGACTTCTATCACTAAAACTATTATTATTTCCCAAAAGGATTTAGATTTTGACATTGAATAACCCATATGCGGCTAAATAAAACCAACCAATCATCCCAGTTTCTATGGATCCGTGCTTCCAAACAAAGCACATAAGATCATATATTTACATATACAGAAGATTCTTGAAAACTTTTCAGCTTTACTAAGAAGCTTTTCCTTCCAAAATATTCTAAAGGTTGGCTGTGTGTGGAGCTGATAGGTTTTCAACACTCCCTTATATATGCAGAAACAAGTCACAACACATCTTCATGCCTGAGTGAATATAAAATCCCATTGTTCTGTAATTTTCATAAACCACTTCCTGATATAGAAATTATGGGATATGTCATTGCTTTAGTAAATTATTTAGTCTATTATTGTTAGATAATAAGTCATAAATATTATTAATCAGAAAAGAAGAAAATCATTCTATCAGCCATTATTTGCTTTTTAAAAAATTCACAAATTATGTCAAACAATAAAAAAAAACCTAAGATATTGAGAATAAAGCAAGAAAGTAAAAAAAAACAAAAAAACTCATGTAGTTATTTATGTGTCTATCTGTTTCTATAGAGAGCAAAGTACAGTAGCTGTAAAATATACTGAATCTATGCCTCATGGGATGCAATTTCATTTTTAAAAAGATTTTTTTTAACTCAAGTGAAAAATATACTGTCAAGATATATATATATATATATATATATATATATATATATATATATATATTAATATTACATATGGAAAATATACATACATATGCAAAATATATAAATACCCATACATGTATATTTTTAGAAAAAAAAAAAAATTCAAGAGGAAGAATCCAGGTAGAACTCAATGTCTAGGACAGAGTAAGGATATAATAAAAAGGCTTAAACACTAATATTCCATGGTCATAATTTATTCCAGAGGAATCGTAAATATGATCCAATTCATCAGACCTACAAATTCAAAAAGAAAACAAAAAAAAAAAAAAAACCGAAATAAAAACAGAATTTAGAGAGAGTGTAAGTATGAGGAGGAGGGAGATTAAACCTTAACAGAGAGAATTTTAGGAGAGATGGGTGGAAGGGGTTTAATTAAGAGAAAAAAATGAATGTTGACGGATGTCTAATGCATAATGTCCAAATGTCTGTTATACTCAATCTTGTTTTTTTCCAGGAGTCAAAAGTGAAAAAAATCAGGACAAATTGGATTTATTTGTTTACTGGAGAGATAATATCTACCTTATGAAGTATTGCACCAAAGGGAAATAAATCTTTCATAATGTTTTGGAAGTTTGAGTAGTTGTTCGCATGTTGAGAAAGTCACTTTAAATACTTGAGTTTATCCATAACATTTTTAACATGCATTTTACTGTCTAAATAACCATCAAGTAACACACACAGCATTATGGTCATTTTCTTTGACCTAAAATCAGGTGCTTTTATACATGAAAATAAGATTTTTTTTCCCTGGAATTTTGCTGCATTTTTAAATGCATCTTATATTCCCTAGCAGTCAATACAGAAATAATTACAGTATTTTCGTTTTCAACATTTCTCATTAGGTATAGCAATCAGTCACCTAGTTTACCAACAACTGGGATTGTTGCAATAGACACAAGAATTTGCTCAGAGTAATGAATGCCTTTGTTGATGGCCTAACATTTTCTTCTTTATGAAATTAGTTTATTTTCCTAAATACAAGATCAGATTTTTCAACAGTTTTGAGCAGCATCCAAAACAGTTTGCCAAATATCCCACCACCCACCACACCTACAGAAAAATCTCTTCAGATATTGAAATAGTACAGAATATTCACAAAAACAAGTAGGAGTTGTAAATGAGCATGAATATAGACAATGCTATTTTTTTCTGAATGACAAGTTGTTTATCAGACAAACAGATAATCATTTGGACGTCAGATAAATCTTACCCTTTTCTAGCAAAGATTTTCAAGTTTCAAATATTTCAAATCCAAAATGACATCTCACCAATCCTGATGCTGGAAGTTAATTTTATCAAAAGGTAAGTAAAATGCTAACAAGCTTTACAGACAGGCACAATGCAGGTTTGTGCCAAAGTTTCCAGTGAAAAATTAGTTTCCAACTGTGTATGAAAATGATATTCAAATAACCCATGTACTGTAAACAAACAGCCTATGCATAGATAGAGAATGAATTAATTAAATTGAGATTTCAACATAATATGGCTGTAAGCCTCTTAGGGGAGCTACCATGATGATTTATTATTGGTGAAAATAACTTTAACAACAGACACTATACAGATGGGAGTGTTTTGATGGCAAATTCAAACAGAAAATGGAAAGAACAATTAGACAATGTAGTAAAGGAGTTTAACAAAAATGAATTAGCCATTTTTAAATATAAGATGGAATACATGGTAATATACAAGGCATGTAAATTTAACCTGGTATTACCATTCATCCTTGAATACTGTTGCCATATATGGTCTGATGCACACATTGTTCATCTCTAGGTCCTCAACAGAATCCAGAGACGGATATGCAATGTGATAAGTCCTGATCTGGCATCTCATCTGCAGTTACTTTCTTATAGACATGATATGGCTTCCCTCTGTCTTTTCTGCAAGTATTTTCATGGCAACTGCTCTGATGAGCTACTTTCTCTGGTACCCATAAATTTAAGCATGCTACTAGCTTGGAATCTCAATCCTACCCTTTCACTGTTGAAACGGTTAAATGCAGCCATCTCTTCTACTCCAACATCTTGCATTTCCTGTCAGTGGAACTCCCTTCCTCTTAATTGCTTCTCTGATAGATATAATCTTCAAATATTCAAATGTAATGTCAATCAACATCTTCTGATACCTTGATCTTGATACCCGTCCTTCACTTTATCCTTTCCTCAAACACCCCTCTTTATTCTTGCTGTCACCCTTTGTGTGCTAGTGGCACTCCTACCTTGCTTGGGGTGATATGCTAGAAAAAAAAAAAAAAAAAAAAAAAAAAAATATAGTAACGAGTTACAATCAAATCGCACTGAAACACTAGTTATTGTTTAATTACCAAGGTTAAACAGTGTTAAGCCCAGTCAGTACTTAGACTGTGGATCACCAAGTACCGTAAATGAAAATTGGGTACAATACCAGTTGGGCATGGGTGGGGCTTGTAATTTCATCCTGTAAAAACTTGCTATGGAAACCAGTGTTGTTGAGAACTGTGGTCACATGGTACACAGTGGAGTCTACACAACTAAAAAAAGGTAGGGGAGGGAGTATAGTAACATATGACAGAAAGTGTGACACACACACACACACACATATCTGAAGAAATATTGATATAATGAAGGCAGCTTTTCCATAAACGGAGCAAAGGTAGAGTGGCAAGTTCTCCATGATACAGAAAATGGAAAAAATAAATAAATAAAAAAAATAAAAAACAGAGAAATAAAATAGAAAATCAGAGAAAAGGGGATTTTTTTCTTGCTACTAAAAAATAAAATATTCTGACAGTAAAATTCCTGGGGCTGGAACTCTACATAATTTTTATTTTGCATAAATTTGCAATACACATCAAAGTCAGTGACTTATGCACAAGTGCTATGACCGATATTGCTGCAACATATTTTATAAATAACATAGATTATTTTCCATTACTGATCCCAGTACTGCACACGTGCCATAACCTAATTCATGATATTAACTTGGCCAAACCACTCACTGTTGGACACTGCATGCAAATACTCATGTGCGATATTAGCATATGAATAGCGTGGCATGTGCCATCATGTTTAGTAAAAAAAATAAGTTGTTGTTTAGTAATTAAATTACATGTTTAAATACTGATTTTATTATTTTTCATAATGAGTAAACAAAAAGCTAACAAACTTAGTGAGTGCACACTTTCAGTAAAATACAGAAGAGACTTGAAGTGACAGACATAATTCTACCATTGAAAATCAATTATGGACAGAGAATAGTGAGAAATGAGTTTTAAGAGAAATAGGAGATACAAAGAAATTGCTGTGAACAATCAAAAAGAGACAGCTGAATTTTTGTCAGGACAGAAGATGAGGAAAGAATACTTGGAAAATTTAACACTCACAGGGTATATTAAAGGCAAAAGAAATAGAAAACCAGTAAGTAGTGTGCTTCATGAGTTTGAGTAAAAGGATAATAAAGCAAGTAGTCATAAACTGAAAGTGTAAAGGAGAAAGTCAAGTAAAGAAAATGGGGAGAGCTATGATCGCATTTACTGGATGTACATAGAGAAAAAGAAAATTCTATTTTTTTTAAAAAAGGCAGTGGGGAATGTTTGTACACACCTGAATATAATTTTCCAAAAACTAGAGAGATATCAGACATTTCAAATGGGAAATTCAAAAAAAACATTAGAAGAAAGTCAGTTCAATGTGTTGTGGGAGACAATTTTTCTTTCCAGAATCTATCTTACATATTTATGTCTACTGTTTGTCTGTGCTTAGAATATTTGCTTCAACATATGATCAGGTGCCCCTGCTATTTTTCTGGAGTTCCTTGATAAGATCCAAAGAAGAATCCACAATATTATTGGTCTTGTTCTGGCAGTTCAGCTTCAGTCACTTTCTCGTCACCCTAAGGTTGCCTCTCTATGTCTTTGCTATAAATACTTTCATGGTAATTGTTTGAATGAGCTCTTTGTTATGGCACCTAGATTTTTTAAAAATTTAAGCACAGTGCTAGACTAGTGATAGATCTAATCAATTTACAATTGAGCTGGTTAGATGTAACCATAAATTCTATGATAACAGTTTCTTTTCTCACACTTCTTGCTTGTGGAACTCCCTCTGGCTCCATGGTTTCCAGCCAACTGCAAAAAATTAAATG